ATAAGGACAAGAATGTCAAGAATGATTTTCTTCTTGTCAGATTGACATTCCTCAAATATTTTCCCACAAGAAGTGCTCTCTGTCAGGCGTATCATGAATGACATGTCACCTGTAAGCTTCCTTGACAATCGGTATTGAACCTTTGCCTTTCCATTCTATGCTCAACATTCCTACCAGCCCATTTTAGCATACAAAACTTCCAAGAATTCCAATTTAATGACAAGCTTAGGAAACAGACTTTATTAAAAACACATCATGATATGAAGTAAATGCATCATGATAAACTTAATTTCCCAACTGGTATGGGATGACCAACCACCCAATCTTAATCAATGATTACCTAGAGATGGGGAAGGAACAAACTGACCCTCCATCTGAGGGTATACTTGCATAATGTTTTATCTTTGAACCAATAGGTAAAACAAAAACTACCTATTCATATCTCTTTACCCATATGAAAAGCAAGGAAAATTCAACAGTTCTTTTATAAAAAGGTTTATCTATTATATGACCATAATATATAATATGCATGCCTTTAGAGAACTTATTTGAAGAAATGATACAGGAAAATGTACACAGGCTACACCAGGGGAAAGCTTTAATTCATTATTTGAAAACTATTCCCAAATCCAGAAAATGGGATTTCAAGTATTCAACAAAGCAGGGAAAAAGAGAAACTAAACTAGGAAAAAAATCCCCATCACTATAACAGGTTTGATTTTCAGCCAAAAAGGATTTGCTCATGCAGAAGGAAAATTCTGCAAATGCTGAACCTGATTTGTTTGGAGGACACCAGGTTGGGGAAGATAATTTAGAATGATGAGAAGAGGAAAAAGGTAACATCAGTGGGTAGCATGGTACTCATAACCCACCATGTTACCCACTCCTTTCTCCCTCTTTGTTAAGGTAGCCTTGTTAACAAATGCCAGCACAATACCTTTGGAGATGGATTCTGCAGCTCCAAGCTTCGATAATTTCAAGGGGATGAGTCATTTTCCATCACTTCGCCACAAAGGCCTATGCTAAGATATTGGGGAGACCTGGAGTCTTTCTTTCTAAAAGTTTCCACACAGCTTCTTTGACTTCATTGTTCCTAATAGTATAAATGAAGGGATTTAGCACTGGAGCAACTAGAGTATTCAGCCAAGAAACAGACTTGATTACATTGAAGGAAGAGTTCTTGACATTAGGTCTTAAATAGACAAAAAAGACTGACCCATACAAAATGCAGACTACAATCAGATGGGAAGCACAGGTAGAAAAGGCCCTCTGCTGTCTGGTGTTTGAAGGCATTCGGAGAATGGTGGAGATGATGAAGAGGT